GCCAGCCTGGTCTACAAGAGCTAGTCCCAGGACAGGCCCCAAAACTACAGAGAAACCCTTTCTCGAAAAACAAAAACAAACAACCCCCCAAAAAACAAACAAACAAAAACAAAAAACAAAACCTCTCTCTCTCTCTCTCTCTCTCTCTCTCTCTCTCACACACACACACACACACACACACACACACACATCTTTTAAAGACAACAGCTCTCAGCTGGGTGGTAGTCACGCATACCTTTAATATTAGCACTTGGGAGGCAGAGACAGGTGGATCTCTGTGGGTTCGAGGCCAGCAGGTTTACAGAGTGAGTTCCAGGACAGGTTCCAAAGCTACAGAGAAACCCTGTCTTGAAAAAAACAAAAATAAAAGCAAACAAACAAAACCAACCAACCAACAAACAAACCACAACAGCTCTCTGAGCTGTTGCTTCCATCTGCACTCTGGACACCCTTCCTATTCGCTCTCCACCCCTGAGACAACCTGTCCTTGTTTATTCCCTTGCACTGAATCACAGGCATCTTACTCCAACAGTAGAGGTTAGCAACATTGTATTACATTCTTCCCTGTAGGAGACCAGCAACACTGTATACATTCTCCAGCTCAGAAGATCAGCAACATTGTATACATTCTCCAGCTCAGAAGATCAGCAACATTGTATACATTCTCTAACTCTAGAAGATCAGCAACATTGTATACATTCTCCCACTCCAGGAGACTAGCAACATTGTATATTCTCCCCTTTAGGAGACCAGCAACATTGTATTTCTTTTTAGTAGGAGGGTAGGTATATCTGGAACAGACTTTGTGGGCAGATCACAGTGGCTATATCTGTGTCCCTTGCTTGAGGAGATTTCCTCCACCCAGAGGGAGACAGTGACAGCAGACCAAGGAAAACATCCATCCACAGTCAGCTCGGTGAGCCCTGAGCTCACTGGTCTCTCACAGGAGCCTGGGTGAGTCGGGGATAACCACTGACAGCCCTCCCCCAGTGCGCATGTCCGCTCACACAGCTGCACCACTGCAGCCCCCTGCACAGCTCCCAGCAGCTCCACTCCACAGTCTCCTCTCCCTCAGGAACTGCAGCTGGTTTAACCCTGAGAGGGAAGCGCTACATTGTGTCAACTCCGATGTTTCAGTCCAGAGGAAAATTCACAGTCACCTCCCTCTTCTACAGAAGCTCCCTTTGTTAATGCAATACCAGGTCAAGGGTTGGTGTGTCAAGTGCAGCCCCAGGTCCCCTCACACTGAGGTCAGAGACACCTGACTTTCCCCTCAGAAAGGCTCTACCCCCCCGCCCCAACTTCTTCCCTCATCTTCCTTCTGTCTTTAACATGTGATCTTATATTTTATTCACTCACTATATACTTATTTTGTATGAATATTTGCTGTGGTCAGGGTACTGGAAGTCATCATCCCTCACAAGATTATCACCTTTTTGGTCACTATACGTCTCTGCTAAGGCTCCTAGAGCTCCTGACTTGAAGTCACAAATCTAGAACAGAAAACTGTGGAGGCCATAACCTGGAGCAGGGAATGAAGTAATTTCTATCTCTGGTGAGCCTTTTTTTTAAAAAATTATTTATTTATTTATGTATGCAATATTCTTTCTGTGTGTATGCCTGAAGGCCAGAAGAGGGCACCATTACAGATGGTTGTGAGCCACCATGTGGTCACTGGGAATTGAACTCAGGACCTTTGGAAGAGCAGGCAATGCTCTTAACCACTGAGCCATCTCTCCAGCCCCCCCCCCCCCTTTTATTTTGGTTTTTGTAGACAAAGTTTCTCTTTATTGTTTTGAAACTTTTTCTGGAACTTGCTCTGTAGACCAGGCTGGCCTTGAACTCATAGAGATCTACCCACCTCTGCCTCCTGAGTGCTGGAATTAAAGGCATTCACCACCACTGCCCAGCATTTTTCCCCTTTTATCTTACTTTTACTCTCTCTAAAGAATTTATTATATTTAAACTATTTCTTTTTTTATGACTGTCTATACTCATTTGCTTTTCTTTCTTAAGTCTATGCCAGTGTTAAACACACTGAAATCTGTTTAGAGTTTTTTCCATCTGGATCCCTTTTACTGAGTATCTTTAATCTTTTTTGACCTTGTGAGTAAATGTTAAAGCACTAAGCTACTGCTGGGTCCTCCTTGTGGTTCTATTTGACTGGCTCCGCCCCACTCCGGTTGTGAAAGCCAAGCCTAATGCTCAAGGCCTGGTTGGAGGGGCCTGATTGGAGGAGTCTTGTTGGAGGAGCTTGGTTGGAGGAGCCTGGTTGGAGGGGCCTGGTTGGAGGACCTGACTGAGAACTGCATTCAACCCCAGAGCTCTAGAATGCCACTGCTTGCTGGCAGCTGGCAATTTCTTTTCTGTTTTTTTTTTTTTTTTTCTTCGAGATAGAGTTCCTCTATGTAGCTTTGGTGTCTGTCCTGGAACTAGTTCTTATAGACCAGGCTGGCCTCAAACTGACAGTAATCCACCTGCCTCAGCCTGTCAAGTACTGGGATTAAAGGCATGTACCACCACTACCTGGTGTCTTATGATTTCTTATGAATACCCACCCTTAGTTTGGCTTGTTTCTAGTCAGCATTTAACTTAAGCCATCCCATGTACCTTTTGCCTTGGGTTTTTATCTTTCTCTATTTTTGTTTTTTTTTTTTTTTTTTTTTTTTTTATTTTTCGAGACAGGGTTTCTCCGTAGCTTTTGGTTCCTGTCCTGGCACTAGCTCTTGTAGACCAGGCTGGCCTCGAACTCACAGAGATCCGCCTGCCTCTGCCTCCCGAGTGCTGGGATTAAAGGCGTGCGCCACCACCGCCCGGCCTTTCTCTATTTTTGTATACCTTTTTTACTTCTTCCTCTGTGGCTTGCTGTGTAGCTAAGTTGCTGGCCCCCAAAGTCCTCCTCTGTAGTAATAAGGGCGGCGGGGCTGCATCCCCAGCACCCCAGCCGCCCGCACGGCTAGCTTTACCCGAAATAACAACACACAAACTGTATTCATTTAAACACTGCTTGGTCCTTTAGCTCTAGCCCTTACTGGCTAATTCTGATATCCTGATCAACCCATCTCTAATAATCTGTGAGAACCGGTCTTACCGGGAAGATTCTAGCCTAGTCCATCCTGGGTCGGAGCTTCATGGCATGTGTCTGCCCAGGAGCCAGGAGCATGGCATCTCCCTGAGGCGTCTGCTCTCGAGAGGAGAGCTGTCAAGTCTGAGCTCAGTTCCTCTTCCTCCCAGCGTTCTGTTCCGTTTACTCCTCCCACCTATCTTCTAACCAATAAAATGGGCCAAGGCAGTTCCTTTATTAGCCAATGACCTTCCTCCATCACTCCTCTCCTTCGTTTGCTCCTTGATCTTCTCTTCCCAGATTTCTCTTCCTATTTATACGCTCTGCCTACCAGCCCTGCCTATCCTTTCTCCTGCCTTGCTATTGGCCATTCAGCTCTCTCTCTCTCTTTTAAGTTTTTTTTAAATGTTTATTTATTTATTATGCATACAATATTCTGTCTGTATGTATGTTTGCAGGCCAGAAGAAGGCACCAGACCTCATTCCAGATGGTTGTGAGCAACCATGTGGTTGCCGGGAATTGAACTCAGGACCTTTGGAAGAGCAGGCAATGCTCTTAACCACTGAGCCATCTCTCCAGCCCCTTTTTTTTGGTTTTTTGAGACAGGGTTTCTCTGTGGTTTTGGAGCCTGTCCTGGAACTAGCTCTTGTAGACCAGGCTGGTCTCGAACTCACAGAGATCCGCTTGCCTCTGCCTCCCAAGTGCTGGGATTAAAGGCGTACACCACCACCACCTGGATGGCTGCTCAGTTCTTTATTAGGGGTTGATCATGTGTTTTAGACAGACATACACAGCTTCACAGAGTTAAACAAATGCAACATAAAAGAATGCAACATGGGGACTGGAGAGATGGCTCAGAGGTTAAGAGCAGTCTTTGCTCTTCCAGAGGTTGTCCTGAGTTCAATTCCTAGTAACCAACCACATGGTGGCTCACAACCATCTGATGCCCTTTTCTGGCCTCATATATACTTACAGAGTTCTCATATACATAAAATATAAATAAAATTAAAATATAAATAAAATTAAAAAAGAATGCAACACATCTTTGCATCACTAAATAGATGTTCCACAACATAAACAAATGTAACACATCTTAAAATAATATTCTACAACATACCAGGATTTCCATTTGGGAGGGAGGCAGACCATAAATCTAGTAGGACCCGATTCAAGAAGAAACCCTGTAGATCCCTCCTCTCTGCCCATCCTACAATCCAGGTTAGATGGGAAAGAAGGAGAGAACCTCCAGGGAGTGGCCTGGAAGGAGGCAGGAGCTCAGGAGACTGAAGCTCATGTTCTCATCTCACAGTCTCCTGAGTGCAGGGGCCTAGTTGGGCCTTGACAGGACAGGGATGGAAAACACTCAGGGACCCCGAAGGAGAATGAGACAGGCACAAGAACAGGCCTAGTCCTCCATACTAACTAAAAAGACAAGAATTAAACACAGAAGACAGGGGAAAGAGCCACAGCTAGGACTGACCCCAGGTTGACCTGTCACAGCAGCCTTGACAGAATGAGTCTCTGGCCATCCCAGTGTCCCTGTGATCACAGATGTCAGCATGAGGCTCAAGTGATGAAGAGAACAGAGCCAGGAGGGGACAGAGCTGAGGAGTGACCATGTCACAGCCAACAACGGACTGAGCTCCACCTGGGCACAGCCCTGTTCTCACTCAGCTCCCACAGCCTCATCCTGTCCCACCAGATGCACACAGCATAATGAACACAGATTCTGGGAGGTTCTCCATGCTGCTATTTACTTCCTCCACAAAACAATAATATTCTCCCCTTTAATTTATAAACCATCAATGCCTCAGGTCAAGTTCACATTCACAGTCTTTCCTTTCCTTTCTTTCTCCTCCTCCTCCTCCTCCTCTTCTTCTTCTTCTTCTTCTTCTTCTTCTTTTTTTTTTTTTTTGTGCTTTCAATATAGGGTTTCGCTATATATCCCAGGCTGTCTTGGAACTCTGTAGACCATGCTGGCCTTGAACTCACAGAGATCCACCTGCCTCTGCCTCCCGAGTGCTGGGATTAAAGGTGTGTGCACCATCACCTGGCAACATTCAGATTCTTAATTTCAGTGGGGAAGTCAGGGCTACAGCTCAGGGCAGCTCCTGTCTGCAGGAACAGGAAGGTTGGCTGTGGAAGGGAACAGAGCAGTGCAGGGACAGCGTCCTGGTGTGCAGGGGTGGGCTGGGCTCTCCAGTTCTTCACATGAAACCCATAGGATCACAGGGAACATCAGACACTATTGCTGAGAATGAACTGAGGGGCTCTGGATGTCACTCCATCCACACCAGGCAGCTGTCTTCACACTACAGAACAAGAGTCATGAACAATCACTGTGAAGAGAACATCCCGACAACCCACCACTCACTCAAAGGTGATTCTGGGAGTCCCTGTCCCCTCTGCCCCTCCTCAGGTCAGGTTGAAGAGTGTCACCTTTACAATCTGGAAGAGACACATCAGAGACAGAGCTCTGGATACTGTCCCTGTCTAGAATAATACATAACTATTCATAGCAAGGTACAGAGGATCCAGAAGGTTTGGATGGTGGGATTATTATGGGCTGACTATGTTCCCAATCATCTCCAGATTCACCCCAACAGCCATAGGGACAATCCTGCCCCCATTCTTACCTGGAGCTGGAACATATTCCATTCATTTTCCACCTGTGAGAAGAAAAGCTGTGAGAGACCAGGGAAGACCCTGACCCTAGGAAGTTTCCAGAACTGACAGCAGACCCAGGTTAGAGAGAGCAGCAATGAGGGCTGTGGATGTGTTTCCCATTAATGAGGCAGAGCACACTTCTAAAAGGGGCTGAGAGAGAACTCAGACCCTGCCCTTTCCTACCTGTGTTTCTCCTCCTCTTCCTTACAACAGCTACCACAGCTACAATGACGGTCACAGTTCCAGGGAGAACCAGAACGACAAGGATTGCCGTGATGGGAGCCGCGATGTGGATGGGAGGCTCTGGGAAGGGAAGGACAGGAGGGAAGATGAGGGTCATGACCCCAGCTCTCAGCTCTGACCCTGCTCAGGGTCGGTAGAAGGCTCCAGCTTTCCCTGACCCCAGCTCTGCACCCACTCCCTCCTTACCCCATCTCAGGGTGAGGGGCTGCCTAAGCCCCTCATGGTACACATGGCATGTGTATTTGTGCTCCTCTCCAGAAGGCACCACCAGGGATGCCCACTTCTGGAAGGTTCCATCTCCAGAAGGTCTGGTCTCCACCAGCTTTGTGTCCTGAGTCTGTTCCTCCTCCTCCCTCTGCCAGCTCAGGGTGATGAAGGCAGGATAGAAGCCCATGACCCAGCACCTCAGGGTGACATCACCTTTAGGTCCAGGATGGTGGGTCACATGTGCCTTTGGGGGATCTGTGCTGATATGAGGAATTCCACAATTTAGCATTTGTTCAGGGAACCCCATAAGAGCTCAGGTGACCATTCTAGGAAGAGATAGAATTGGGGTGTGGGAAGGATGCAAACCTCACACAAAGGCATCTGGGAGAATGTATTCTTTGGAAAGTTCTAGAAACTGGGGGAAGCACCCTAGGGTAGGGGAGTCCATGTCTCCCATCAGGTAAAGGAAACTCCGGTCCTGGTGTGTAAGGGCTGACACACTCAGATGACAAAACAGGACTCAGTGTCCACACACACTGGGTGTGGGCAGAGAACCCAGCCTGGGAGAAGCCATGGCTGACAGGGGCTGCAGACTGAAGGAGCCACTGTTGGTGATGTCTGGATCCTCTCTCCTCCCTCCTGAGACAGAGGTGGAACTGTCCAGGGAGAAGGCTGAGCCCTGGGAGGTCAGTGCAGTCCCTGCCATGCTGGATCAGGAGACCCAGGGACACTGTCTGCCCTCAGAGACAGGGGCATGACCCCCGTGAGGATTTCCTCTTCCTCAGGACTGAGCCCAGCCCGAGGGCAGAGGGAGGAGTTGCCCGTGCCCGCCACCCCAACCCCGTACCTGTGCGCAGCAATGTGTCCTTCCCGTTCTTCAGGTGTCTGAGCAGAGACTCCACGCACTTGTTCTCCAGGTAGGCCTTGTGTCTCTCTGCAGCACCAATCTTCTCCAGCTTTCGCCGGGAGATCTGCGCCGCCGTGTCCGCTGCCGTCCACATCTTCAGGTCGTCGTTCAGGGCGATGTAATCGCGGCCGTCGTAGGCGACTTGACTGTATCCACGGTAGAAGCGACCGTCCAACCACGAGCACACGTGACAGCCATACGTATGCTGGATGGTGTGAGAGCCTGCGGGGATCCCGCGGTCAGCCCCGCCCACTCGCGGACTTCAGGGATTTCCGAGTCCAGCATCTCTGCGAGCTTCGTAGCCTCGGGCTGAACCTGGGACCCATGGAGCCTCTGGCCCAAATGTAGGGACGTGGAGGAGTCTTGACCTCCGATTAAAGGTCACTCACCATTCTCGCTCTGGCTGTAGTAGCCGAGCAAGTTCTTCAGGTTCTCTCGGAATTCCTTCTCCCAGACCTTTACTTTCCTTGTCTCCCTCTCCCAATACTCCGGCCCCTCCTTCTCGATCCACGGCGCCCGCGGCTCCATCCTCGGAGTCTCCGCGTCGCTGTCGTAGCGCACGAACTGCGTGTCGTCCACGTAGCCGACGATAATGAACCGGGGCTCCCCGAGGCCGGGCCGGGACACGATGGTGCGAAAATACCGCAGCGAGTGCGAGCCTGGGGGCGGCGCGTGGTGAGACCCTGACCCTGCTCCCGGGACCCCGGGCAGGAGCGTGGGCCGGGAGGGGAGCAGGGCGCGGGGCTCGGAACACGGGTGGAGAAGGGGCAGGAGGGTCCGGATGGGCCACGCGGGGACGCGGCTTCCCCGTTGCCGCCCCCGCCCTCCCCGCAGAGCCCGTTTCCCTCCCGACCCCGCACTCACCCGCGCGGGTCAGGGTCGGGGCCAGGGCGGCCGCCAGCAGCAGGAGCAGCGTGCGCGGCGACATCGCCCCCATTTAGAGATCTCGTGCGGGTCTCAGCCCTGTGGGAGTCGACTGAGTCGACTTTATAAGCAGTAACTTCGGCGACGCTGGTTGGTTCTCCAGGTTCGCGCCATCCAATGAAGTTATGACCTGGAGTCTTGAAGTCATCAGTGTCCAGGCAGACTGACAGGGCAGTTTAAGAGATGGAGAAGTGAAACTGGGAACATGGGCAGTCCTCAGCTCCGGACATCCCCACGCCAGACCTCACCCACTAAAGGAACAGCTTTTGTCTCGAACCCTGTGTTGCGGGATGAAGCACTGTTTGTCATGGTGTCTCTAAGTTCTGACCCAGAAGCTGAACACAAGGAGGCCAGGTTCCTTTTGTTTTCTCTTCCACCCTTCCTCTTCCTTCTTCTCTTTAGTTGCCAGAGGCTGAACTTTTCTAGGAGAAAAGTCTTCTCTGGGAACACAGTGGCAACAACAAGCAGGCTGGAATGCAGTGGACAGATGCTTCTCTTTAAAGCAGAGGCGCTGGCCTGCAAGCACCACACAGACTCCCACAGAGACCAGGCTCCTGTGTTCACCTGCAGTGGGCAGCTCACACTGCCAAGCCTGACGCTCAGGATCTCACATGTAAACAGAGACTTTGCCTCTTCACTCGGGATCGTGTCTTCACAGCCTGTGCTTACACTCAGACTCCTAGGGTTTGTTCCCAGATGATCATCTGTGGCTCCAGGTGCTTGTGTTTACACGGATCTTCATTCCATAGTCCTGAGATTGTCCGTGTGGACCTGGGTCATTGACTCAGCACAGTAGACCCTTTCTCCATGGGAAGAGACCCCTGTGGAGACCAAATACAGCAGGGCACTGACCCTGTCTACACTCCGTTTCCCTGTGTGCACACACTCCCATGGTACAGTTGCTTTAGTGAATAAACCCCAGTCAGAGAGGAACTGGAACTAATAATAAAGAGAATAACGGTGACAGCATGGTAGAAGATACATAACCTGTGACCATATCTCCCCCATCTCTGTCTCCCTTCCTCCCCTCTTCCCCCCCTCTCTGACCTTCGCTCTCACTTTATGAGCTGATGAGATGAGGGAGATGAATGTCACAGACTTGTGGGATCCTGGACCTGATAACAGTTGGCTTCTGAGTTCCTCAGTCCTGTGCAGTGTGGACACTGGACAGAGGGTGATTCTCACGGCAGGGTACACACTGGGGCTTTTAGGTTTTATCCTACTGTTCCACAGTGTGGAAAATTTTAAATTAATCATTTCTTTGTTTCTGGAGATTTTGACTTGATCACTTCAAATCTCAACCACACATAACTGAAGCAGAAAGTAAAGGCGGAGGTGAGTGGGGACTCGGTTGCACAGAGTCACGCACAAAACAGGGTGTCATAGTGTGTTTGACCAGAGCTGTAAAAACCCCAGTCACCTCTGAATGCAGGTGTCCAGGGCAGCCCCACACTCCAGGACTCTGTGACAGCATCTGCTTCCGTGAACATTCATTTTAAGTGCTGTGTGTATTTTACCTGGAATCTTCATTCTCTTAGGTTTCATCCTGACTAACCTGAGAAGGCAGTTAGCTTTTGGAAACTCTACAGAAAGTGTCTGTCTTAGATACTTTTCCACTTTTTAAATTTTTTTTATTTTTTTTAAATTTTTTATGGTTTATTTAACTTTATTTTATGTTCATGGGTGTGAAGGTGTCAGATCCCCTGCAACTGGATCTTCAGACAGTTGTGAGCTGCCATGTGGTTGCCGGGAATTGAACCCAGGTCCTCTGGAAGAGCAGTCAGGGCTCCTGAACCACTGAGCCATCTCTCCAGTACCTTTTTAAACTTTTAAATTTGTTTGTTTGTTTTTTTGAGCAAGAGTTCCTCTGTATAGCTCTAGCTGTCCTGGAACTTGCTCTGCTGACCAAGTTAGCCCGGAACACACAGATATCCACCTGCTTCTTCTCCTGGAATGCTCGGATTAAAGGTTTGTATCACCCCCTTCTGGCTTTAATTCTGCTCTTATTTTTGTGGGTTTGTTGTTTTGTGTTTTTGTTTAACTGAGATGGGGTTTCTCTGTAAAGGCCTGGCTGATGTGAAACTCATTCTGTAGACCAGGCTGTCCTGGAACTCAGAGATCTGTCTGCCTCTGCCCCCTAGTGCTGGGATTAGAGGTGTGTGCCACCTCCACCTTGAATAACTATTTTCTTTTTTAAGAAAAGGTCTTTCTATACAGCTCTTACTGTCCTGAGATTTACTATGTAGACCAGGTTGGCATTGAACTCACGGAGATCCAATTGCCTGTGCATTCCTTGTGTGGCCAGCACACATGCCCATAGTTACTTTCTTATGACTGTGATAAGACACTGTGACCCCAGCGAATTATAAGAGGAAGTGTTTTTTTTTTGTTTGTTTGTTTTTGTTTTTCGAGGCAGGGTTTCGTGGTTTTGGAGCCTGTCCTGGAACTAGCTCTTGTAGACCAGGCTGGTCTCGAACTCACAGAGATCCGCCTACCTCTGCCTCCCAAGTGCTGGGATTAAAGGCGTGCACCACCACCGCCCGGCAAGAGGAAGTGTTTAATTTGAGCTTAAGTTTTCAGAGGATTTGAGTCCATGATGGCAGAGGAAAGCTATGGTGGCTGAAACAGCTGAGAGCTCACATTGTGATCCACAAGCAAGTGTCAGAGACAATGGGAATGGTGGGAGTCTCTAAAACCTCTGTGCCCAGCCCCAGTGACACACCTGCTCCTACAAGACCACACCTCCTGATCCTTCCTGAACAGTTCCATCAGCTGGAGCTGAAGTATCCAAACCTCCGAGCCTGTGTCCATTCTCATTCAAACCCCCACAGTATTCAGTGTGGGATGTCAGATGCCCTGCAGGGTTCTACAGATGTGTCCACTGTGATCTGTAGACAAAGACCCTCAAACAGGAGGACCCCACTGCACCAGGGTCTCCCCCTTTGCTTCTGTCTCCTCCTGCCCAGTCCTCTGCCTTCTCCCTCAGGCCTCCCCCATCAGTGCCCAGCACCCCTCACTCCAGAGCTCTGCACTAACACTGTTTCTTTGCATCTAGATTATCTCTCCGTTGTCAGTCATCTTGCTGTGATCCGGGCTGCTGTAGGATGATGCTCTCGTACACTATAAAAATTTATCATTCATAATACTTTAATAAAATGCTGAAAAATGCTGATTGACCAGTAACCAGGCAGGAAATATAGGTGGGGCAATCAGACTAGGAGAATTCTGGGAAGAGGAAAAAGCAGAGTTAGTTACTAGCCAGACCAGAGGAAGATGAGAAGGCCTTACTCAGGAAAGATACCAAGCCACATGGCTAAGCATAGTTAAGAATTATGGGTTAATTTAAGTTGTAACAGCTGGTTAATAAGCCTGAGCTAAAAGGCCAAGCAGTTTGTAGTTAATGTAAGTCTCTGTGTGTTTTTTTGGTACTGAATGACTGTGGGACTGGGCGGGACAGAAACTTCTGTCTACAAGGCTGCAGGTTCCTTCTGTAAAAGCTCCAATGGGAATAGAGAGATGGCTCTGCAGTTAAGAGGACTTATTGCTGTTGCAGAAAATCTGGGTTCAGTTCCCAGCACCCCCATGAAGACTGGCAAGCATCTGTGACTCCAGTCCCAGGTGATCCAATGTCCAGCTCACCTGCGTACTAATATTCAAAAACCAAAATTCACCTCATAAAAACAAAAGTTTAAGAATACAGTTTAGGGGCTGGAGAGATGGCTCAGAGGTTAAGAGCATTGCCTGCTCTTCCAAAGGTCCTGATTTCAATTCCCAGCAACCACATGGTGGCTCACAACCATCTATAACGGGGTCTGGTGCCCTCTTCTGGCCTGCAGGCATACACACAGACAGAATATTGTATAATAAATAAATAAATAAATAAATAAATAAATAAATAAATACATAAATATAAAAAAATACAGTTTAAAAAGAGCTCAAACAGCTTCATATCTCCCTCCTACACATCTTGAGTATGACAGTCAGGGGCTGAGAGCACAGGGCTGTTTGGTCAACATTGAACCTCCAGTCAAGGAAGCCAGAGATGCAACAGGACAGGGACTGATGACTGAAATAGACGGTGCTGAAATGAAAAGTTGCCGAACAGCATAAAATTAACAATACAGTAATATTTCATTTTATGGGTCCCAGTGCACAGCCGATCACAGCCTTGTTACAGGAAGAAGACACTGTGTGCGCTCACCTTTGCAAATGAGCTGTGTGCTGGTTTTTGATTGCTGCTGAACAAGACAAATTCCTGTCAGTCATTTCAGTGGTAACTTGTAACAGACCATGACAGCCCACATCCAGCAAGTTCCTGCAGCTCATGATGTCTCTTTTCCCATCTTCCCTGCCACATGAGGCCCTCAGGCTCTCGTCTTTTTAATATGACAGAGAAGCATCAGAGTCTAAGGCAATAGTTCACCTTCTTGAAGAAAAAGAAACAGAACTCAGTCTGAGCCCACAGAATTTAAGGATGAGAAGGAGGAATCACGGTTGGCTGAACTGCCCCATGACCTCCCCGCTACACCACTGCTAGGGTCTCAGGCTGTCCTGCCCTCATGAAAATTACATCCAGATGGAACTTCCCATCCTTTCCCTCCCGTGGGAAGACAGCTCCCTGCAAGAGGGTAGGGAGGGTGCCGAGCCAGAAGAGTCACAGCAGCTGCAAAGCCAGGAACCAGGGAAGTTTCTAGAACTCTGAAACAGACTGTGATGTCTATTCTCGGTTGTCAACTTGACTATATTATATCTGATATTGACTAAAACCCCAAAATGGAGGGCACAGCTGTGAGGGATTTTTGCTTAAATTAAAGTGGAAAGATCGACTTCTGGTCTGGATATTTGAGATAGGAAGATAAACATAGTTGGACTTTCTTTGGATGGTCAGCTCCTGACATGGAGACCTTTTATTAATTATGAAAACTTGGCCTTAGCTTAATCTTGTTCCCAATTAGCTCTTAAAACCTAAATCATCCAATTTATCTTAATCTAAGTTCTGCCATGTGGCTCAAT